AACTAGCATACATGCGGACGCGCATTGGAATCCACTGCAGAAGGGCAGTTTCCGCAGACCACACTAAAGCTATTCAGCTATCATAAGTGACGTCGGCTATAAAAACATCTCAGCAAGAGACGAAAAACACACCAACTTTTGTACTATACACCCGATATCATCGGAAATGAAACAGTGGTTTCATGCAGGTAAAAATGCGAACGTTTAACAGGTCCCGTAGGATGGTCAGGGTGAATACTGTAAAATTGGAGGGGGGTACCAACAAAAAGTAACTTTATACCAGCGGACTCACCAAAGCATGCACCTTAAAAATTGTAAATCCACGAAGAATGACGACAAATGGAAAATGATATTAGCCGTGCCACCTCCTGGTGAAAATATGCAAGTGGTGAAAAAGGGGGATATATGTTGAGAGCTGATCGGCAGTGAGATGTCGATCAGACATCATTGTTCGGCAATCGCAAGGAATTGCGCGAGATGATGCAGAGAAGGAGCGCAGAGTCAATTCGGCCGAGGAACTCTATCAGCGTTAAAGCCAAGAGGACAGCTTCCGGATGGCCATACTAAACGACTGTACCTCACTGTTCCGTGGAGGAGTTGTACGTTATCGAGGGCATCCCCAGGTTGCGGATCCGGGAATGCCTTCCTTATGGAGGTAACTGCGAAAAGGTCTCGTTTGCTTTGCAGGCGAGATGAATAAGCAGTCGCGGACAATCAGCGACAGCGTCTCAGAGCGTGGGGAGTTCTGGGCTGGTCACCTAAGTTCTCCATTAAATACCATAAGTGCTCGTATGGCGCTGCGTCAAAACCAATGTAACCGGCTACAGTGTCACTAACCACTCACTCCTGTAACTGGGGGTGAGTATCTAACAGAGGGCGGATGAACAACCTCGCTGGCCACCGGCTTCTCTGTGGACTGCTTCCGAACACAAAGGTGAATGAGCCACTTGGCTGTTAACGGTTTTCGTGAATCACCTCGCTGCCTTGCGGATCAGGTCTTTAGACCAAAGGCTGGGGGTGCGGTCCTTTAAGTCAAACCACTTCCTCCGCCTGGGCAACCGGGAAGTTCAATGCCCACACAACACATTGAACTTTGGTTCCAGTCCTCTTACTCACTCCCTCTTTTTTGTTATTGTTACTCATGTGTTGTGGCACTCAGTCAAATGTTTAGTGGGCAAGTGTTAAATACATATAATACATATATATACCTCACTGCCAGTTTAAGAGGGTGACCGCACAGATTGCTGTCGTGAATGTACATATATATATATATATATATATATATATATATATATAGAGAGAGAGAGAGAGAGAGAGAGAGAGAGTTTGAACCCCAATCAGGAAGGTAGACCGGTCCGAATGATGTCAGGCTTAGGGTTGCCTTCTGTATCCTCCGTCTCCGAGTTATTACTTGTTCACCACCGCACATTTTCCTATCAGTTCCGCGAAGCGTAAATAACGCTCCACGGGGAAGGCGATAGGCCGGCATGCGCAGTACGTGGTCGAGCCAACGCATAAGTCGTCGGAGAATGACGTTTTGGAGGCAAGGGCTGTTCGCCCCAAGCACTCGGTCTCGGACGTCTTGTGTTAGCAACGTGAAGTGGTCACTATACACGAAGGATGCTTCGCAAACGTTTGTCAAAAACTGACAATCGTTTCATGTCTTTCACGTGAATAGATCAGGTTTCACGGCCGTACAAGAGGATCGTATTAACGGAGGCATTGTATACCCTACTATTGGCTGGCTTGCCAAACAATCCCCTCGAAGTGCCAGCTGGGTGGTTCTGGATTATCCCGTTCCTGCAAATGGTTCGGCAACAGCGTTCCAGCACGTGCTGGATTTTCGCCTGACAAGCGTTCTTCCAATAAAAAGTCACATACCCGTTTAACGACACTGACCTGGCGGATGTGACTCGCCACTAAAGTAAATCACTGCCCCTTGTCTCTCTCTGAGTGGCATTGTGAAACAATGGTGTGTTGGGCCCTTGGTCTTTTGTGGAATTAAAGACATATGAACCATTTGTATGGTCACCGGATCCTAACGGGTTACATCGTCCCCATTTCGCCCCGCTGCCTTGGAGGTTTAATCCTTGATCAAAGACTCAGAGTAAGGCCCCTAAGATAACGCTCTACTTCGGCCCGGGCAACCGAGTAGTACCATGCCCCCTGAGGAATCAAGCATAAATGGATTGCACTAGTCCTTTCGCTTCTTATATGTCTCTTGACCAACAAAACAATAACAACAGCAGTACATCCGCCATTTGAACTGATGCTTCACTGCCATACAATCACAATAACCTATGACACAAAGAATAATAAGAGGGAGAGAAGGGGGACTTACATGAAAAACTTAATGTCCCAAGCAAACATTCGTAGTCAAGGCGCTTACACTTTGTGTAGACAACATACCGTCACAAACAGCTGGCTATCGTGCAAAGATAAGGCGGCATCGGCCAGACAGTTTCCTTGCTGCTTTCACTGCCCGGCGTCATAATCAGCCATTACCCCGCAGATAACTCAGCACCAAACACTTTAAACAGGCAATCTGATTAGGAGATGGAAACAGACGCGCCACCGAAGTCGGTTGCGAGCCATGTCCTGTAAAGTCTCGAGCCAAGCACAAGGCGAGTCACGTGGACTCCAGCCCGGAAGGCGAGACGGACCAACGGCACCCAGTTTGGTCGTCAGTGACTCCACTGCCCGCTGCCAAGTCAACTTCTGTCCAACTCGAGCCTTGCGCCACCCTACAGCTGGCAGACTAAACAAGTTCATCCTAGGTAAGCGGTGACCAGCCATACGTAGCACGTGCACGAACCAACGCAACTTACTCAGGGCCATCAGTTGTTCTAGGGAGTTAGCATGATTACCACTACATAGTACTCGCCTACGCACACGCCTAGGTTTTGGCCCGGAACGACTAGTCATATTCGGGACTATGTGTCGAGTTGGCCGCAGAACGATAACTTTGCTACCCAAAGCCAAGATTCTGCTCCAACTGGAACCGCCATCACCAGTTATGATACATGGTCGTCTAAAAAAGCGAATGCTCCGTCAAAAACGCTATTATGATCGCAGATCAAAAGAGTTACCACCACTTCGGACTGGTGGGGGTGTGTGGCTACAGGTGGTTTTTGGATATGAAAAACGATGGAGGCGAGGGGTCGCAGAAACTTGCACAGGAGAGAGAAGCTGCGAAGTTAGGGTGAGCAATGGTTTGTATCGCCGTAACCGAATGCATCTGAGGCGGCATCCGACGAGCAACGAGAGGGCGAGCGAGCGACACGACCGACCAGATGGTGTACAGACACTGAGGGAGATGACAGAAAGAGGACGCGCAGTAGCAGCGTATACAGCACTTCAATGACCGACAAATCAGAACCGAAAAGAAGAAGGGTGTGGCAAGTGGTGAAATCTGGCGTCCGTTTTACTGGCGTAGTAAGAACTTCGGCCGAACGAAAACTTGGCTGTCCAAAAACCGGAACGTGGGCGGACTGGACAGCGTGAACTCCGCAGCCAGGATTATTCAGCCGGTGTGGGTGGCTCAGCCAGAAGTGTACGATGCGGAGGCGTATGCCACAACCCAAAGCCAATGTTTCGTAAAAAGTAAACAGTTTATCATTTTTATGGTGAAAATAGAGACTTGAGCGTTGCGCAGTCCGACTTTTGCATTTCGAGAGTGCAACTTAACCACTTGACTGCCAGAAATTCGCTTCTGTTTTTAAAGCACATTCATTTGATATCAATATTGCTTCGATAAACTCGAATAAGTCTAGGAATTGTTGTGAATATTCAGAGGACGCCTACTCACAAGGCACCATTATTATTGAGCTGCATCTTATCACACTAGCTGATAGATAATCAACTGCGATATTTTAAGCGTAACCGATGCATTTGTAAACCCCGCACGAGAAGTAACTGATCATGCCTGCTCAGGTGTGTCTCGTGCATACCGATAAAAAAATCGACATCCATTTATTTGTATAGCAGACAAACTATTTGTTTTTATTCTCTCCGCACAACCCACTCTACTAGGGAGCATTTGCTTTGTTAATCGCTTTGAAGGATAATTCATTCTCCCCGCTGCTCAGTTACGTTGCACACCGATATGCAGTATCGGTGCATAGAGGGGCAGGCGGGCCATCAACTCCACCGGGCGCTTATTATTACAAGTTAGAAACCTAATTTGCACAAGGATTCAGAAAACACACTTTGATTGCTCCTGTTTTAATGTGTTCTCCATTATTACCGTATAATATATCCGGTTGCATACCACCTGTATTTCTTACTTATCATGTTATTTATGTTATCAGCGAACGCTCAGAGAAGTCGGCCACATGGAGCGACTAGGACCACTGCTATTTTGAGCAGCAGTGGGTTCAGAAACGCAGCGAACAAATAGGGAGCTGTTTGCGTGAGACCGCATAGGGGCATAGCAAAGACGCGTGAAGCGGGTGAGCAAGTTGCGACGCACGAGCCAAGTGCGTTTTCACTGGTTTAACTACACTTCTCTGACTGGCCAATTGCAACGTAGAAACGAGCGTGTTCTCTTCATCGTGAAAAGATGTTAGCCGTATCATCGTCTCAGAACGATTAGAAGGTAAACATGGCAAAAATGGCGCTAACAGGGGTGAACCAATGCTAAATACCAGAAGATAAGATTCGTTGTGAACTAATGAGAATGATGAACAATTTTCATCTCAATATCAACCACTGTCGCGTAATTGGATCCAGGACAATAAAGGATGGACAAGGAAAGTCTGGTAAGCTATTAATTAGTGTGAGAATAGCTTGACAGCGAAAACAGAAGACGCGGTTCAGCTTTAAATAAAATATTTCAGTAATTTACCTTGTCGTGTAGAGAATGTGATGCCAAAGACTTTCATGAGCGGAATCGCGTTTGATCTCGTCCTGTAAATGCGCATGGTTAATAAAAGACAACAAAAAGAGAGCTTGTGGTGAGAGATTCTAGCAGGAACCAGAATTAGGCTAATGCAACTCACCCGTAGGAAAAGAGGCGAGTGGGTTTCCAGCGGGAGACAACGGCAGCATACAATCCAATTACCAAGGCAGCGGAATCGAAAAGCATATGAAATCCGTCAGAAATGAGTCCAAGGCTATTCGTCCACACACCGTAGAGCAATTCGACGAAGGTAAAAGCCTAAACAGACAATTAAGGAAACAATAAACCAGGAGAAAAGAGGGAACTGTAGCCAAAATGACAAAAGCAAACAACAAAGGTGTAAGCCAGCCTCTACTGTGGTAGTAATACCAAGAGCAAGATTCAATCGAAGTAGTGGTGTGGTGCGATAAAGCTGAGCGGACATAGTTTATACCAACAAAACACGTCAAACAGTGGAATGCAAACAACAATGCAACTCAACGGACCATGGGGTCTAACATCCAGAGAGAACAGTGTGAAGCATCACTGTGAGTTACCGCAAACCACTCGGTTGCGACGCATACTGGCCAACCGACAGAAATTCAGGAGACCTATTGTCTGTCCTTAGAATACAACCAAGAGTGGAGAAAGAATTGCTGTTTTTTGTGGAGGAAAGCCACAAACAACATAATGGGAATAGTGACCAAAGTTTAACTAGTGGGGTAAAGGGATTTGTAGTCCGCCGCACCACCGTGGAAACAATAAACCAATGAAGGCCACAAACAGGAAAGTTAAAACAAACCGAAATTATGATAGGCAAATACAACTCAGACACTGAAGGGAGGAATGCAAGAACAGTAAGGGGCTTACATACAAGAGTGAACGGAAGAAAAAAAACCCTCCAACAGTGACAATGAAATTCGTCCTCAGCTATATCTAACCGTTCTTGAGCGCATCAACTAACAATAACCCTCTGGATCCAATTCGGAGAGGGAATGAGCAACTGATGCCCTGTACGAAATGGGTGGACGGGCGCGCTTCGCTGTGCACACAAACCGTAGTGACAGTGACAGAAAGCATAACGGGTTTTGACAGCATCATATTGACCAATTAAAACGCTAACTATAAGTGATAGATAACAAGACTCAACACAATCAGGAAAATGCATTGCAATGCAGGGGCGCAAAGCAAAGCTCGAAACAGCTAACAGTAAGTATTACTGGGCGCGTCCATGAGCAATCGCAGACTAAGGCAAGACCGCAAGAAAAATGCAAGTAAAGAAAGTCGATCATCTAAAAGCTGCTGCACACCTTCCAAGTCGTGTCCAGTGAACGCAGTTCCCATGACCGTCAAAGGTGAAATCAAGAAGGAAAGGTGACAAGGTGCATCCTCGTCACACACCGCTGTAGAAATTGTAAGGCTATGACAGTTTACCACAAACCATCACTTTGCTTAAAGTAAGTGTGCAAAGTGTTCTTATAATACTGACGCATATCTAAGGTACACCTTCCCAAATCTCAAAAGACATATCGATGCATCGAATCGAATGCACCATTGAATGAAAGAACACAATTATGAGGAGCTAATGACAAATAGTAACAATTCGGGATGCAATCATTGTGTTTAACTCACCAAATTTAAACAAAGGAAGGCAAAGATCCTTCGCGATGAGCGCTCAGACATTATGCTCCTCAACGTGGAACGCACATGATACCAGAAGCTGAAAGACTCTGACTGATTACTGATGCCCACCGTATGCATTTGAGTTTGGCCAAGAGCGAACAGAGGAAGACCTGCCATTGAATAGCCAATGAAGTGCCCACTTGAACTGCCATCGGGGCCCTGACCGACTTTTGGGCTGTGCAGCAGGTTGGATGCTGACAAGAAAATAAAGAGAAGTAAGCGGTGGTGAGTAGAAGAGCTGCATGCTGACTAAAAGTAGAGGTGTTGGAGTGGGCTGCCCAAATCAACTACTTAAATGGACATTCAAAATAGTAGTCTAAAGTTTTTCAGATAAGTATCGTAGATGTAATTGGAGTGATAGACCAACAGTGCACAACCTGAGCCGCCACCGAGTACTAACCGTTACAAATACGTGGGACAGTAAGCAGAAAGTAGAACGCATCATTATACACGTCAGCTAGAGGTGGGAAAACACATCTGCTACTATGCCGCAATACATGAAGGAAATACATACATACATATGATACAATACACAAAGGAAAAACAGATACAACAGTTGTCTCACAGCAACGGATAAGCATCGTTTCGGATAGCTACCAGCCAACTACTAGGCAAAAAGAAAAAGAATTATTATGATTTACCCTACGAAATGAGATCGCAGATGGGGGGGAGGCTAAAAGGGATGGGGTGGGACAGAGAAACTCACAGCACGAACGCCACTGAGGTCGGCGTCTTGCCTTGTCAGCAAGTGTATCCAGCCAAACGTGTTCACCGTCTTTTGGACCCCAAGCAGGGAGCAGTGACGCTCCAACAGAGGCTAGCTCCGAAGTGAGGGACTTCATTCCTCTGGACCAAGTCATCGCTTGGCCACCTCTCCTCTTCTTCCACCCACATCCCCGGTGAGCAAACAACGCACGTCGAGGGAGTCGGTGGGCTGGCATGCGCAACACGTGGCACAGCCATAGAAGCCTGGTGCGGGAAATAACGGTGCTGAGCGGTTCATTCCCTTTTCCTGGGCCGTAAACAAGGCACCGAACACGCTCGTTACTCAGGCGGTGTTGCCACCAGATGTGAGCCAAACTGCGAAGGCACCGATGGTCGAACGTAAGTAGCCTCTTCATGCTCGCAAATCTTAAGGGTCAGGTTTCGCAACCGTACAGTAAGGTCGAACATACCGCTGCATTGTACACTCTACCCTTCAGGGCGAGTAATGTCGCGCCGCCGCTATAGGTGGCGAAGGTTAGCAAAAGCACTTCGAGCTTTCGCTACACGGTTCGTGATCTCGTCTTCGATCCCAAGGGCGCTGATACAACTTCCCAGGTAATTGAATTTCTGAACGACTTCTAGCTGATCCCCACCAAGGGTCAGCACAGGGGGCGATCCCTGTCAATCTTGGAGGAACGCTTTGCACTTCGATGGTGCAAATCAAAGCCCGAAGCGGCTGACAGCCAGTGATAATTTGTCCAGCGCGGCTTGGTACGTCTGGGAGCTGTCACAGATGAGGGCACTATCATCTGCATACTCTAAATCAAGAAGTCGTTCTCCTGGGAGTAGCTCCACACCTTCCAAGTCATGTCCTGTAAATGCAATCTCCATGACTTCGTCAATAGCGAAGTTGAATAGGAAAGGTGACAGCGGGCATGCTTGTCTCCCACCGCTGGAGATATTGAAGGGTTGCGACAGATTGCCGTAAACCCTCACTCTGCCCGTGCTACGCGCATATAATACTTGGATAATATTTACATATTTCTCGGGCACACCTTTCCTGAGTAGACAATTCCAAAGGGCACATCGATCAACCGAATCGAAGGCACCTTTGATGTCGAGGAACACGACTACGGTGGGCCGCCAATATGTGTGACGGTGCTCCAACAACTGACGCAAGGTGAAGATGTGGTCGATGCAGCCACGACCTCGACGAAATCCGGCTTGCTCTTCACGAATCTGGCTTTCACGAGTGCCAGTCAGTCTGTGAAGAATTATGGAGGCGAGTAATTTGGAGGCGATGGAGATCAGACTGATTCATCTATGGTTGCCGCATTCCGAGCGCGAGCCACCTTTGAAGATGGGAACAATAACGGAGCGGCTCCAATCGGTTAGGACAGTCTCCTGCGCCCACAGTTTCACTAGTAATTCATGTAAAGCATCAACAAGAGCAGAGCCTCCGAATTTGAAGAGGGCTGGAGGAAGATCATCTGGTCCCGCGGCTTTGTTTAACTTCAACAGTTCGATCTCACGTTCGACTTCTGAGCGAGAGGGTGGATCCAAAGGGACAGCCCATGGAGCAGGGCAACCAGTGACCGGCGAATCAAACAATTCCAGCCGATTCAATTGCTTTTCAAAATGCTCAGCCCAACGCTCCAGACGTTTTGACAAATTGTGGATAGGCTGTCCACTCTCATCATAAATTGTTTCACTAACACCAGGTCTCCTGCTGCCCGTTTCCCGTATCAGACAGAATAGGTTACGATGGTTGCCAAGGGCAGCGGCCACTTCCATCTCTGACGCACAATGAGACCACCAAGATTCGCGGTCTCTCTTCAGGCTAGCACGGAGTTTTGCCCGGAGCTCTTTGCGAGTTTCATTGTGCTCGCTTCCAGCCGGGATATGCCGGCGAGCATCCATAAGTTCCAGAGACCGAGAAGAGACCCAATGTCCACGTTGGCGATTAGACATACCACATGAGGATTTGTCCGCTGCTAGTAAGGTCTGGCGAACATGTGACCAGTGACCATCAATGGTCTCCAATGAGCGATTACTCAACTCGCATGTCAGCGTACTTCGATACGCATTCAGAACAGATAGCTTTGTCAGTTGGCTGGTGTCAATGCGCTTACAATGTCGTCGTGGGCGTCCGCCAAAGCGCATCCGCATGTCAGCATATACAAGTGCATGTTCGGTGTCCACACATGTGCTCCAAATCGAGCGACAATTCTGCATGCAGCCTCTCCAGCGGTTACTTATCGCAATGTGATTGATCTGCGTCCAAAGCTGGTGGGCGCCAAGTCACCCTTAGGCGGGTTCTGTGTCGGAAATTAGTGCTCGCAAGAAATATGCGAACATCTTCACACAAATGAAATAACCGCTCACCGTTATCATTACGGGAGCCTACACCGTGCTGACCGCCAAGATGCAGTTCATCAGTGGACAACTTTCCAACTTGTGCGTTCAGATCCCCCGCAAGCACAACAGTGTCCGTGCTTCTTCTGTGGCGAAGGAGCTGGGTCAGTTGGCGGTAGAAGTCGTTCTTTACCGAATCATCGCTACAGTTTGTGGGCGCGTAGGCAGCGATGATGAATAGACACCTGTTAGTCCCGCGCGAATTTGAAGCTTTAAACGAGCCAGCCAATCGGACCACACACATCCGGCTACTGATTGGAATCCAATCAACCAGAACAGTTTCAGCCCGGGGACTCAGGGCAATGCCAACACCAGCTTGGCCGGTGCTCGAAGCTGCATCGTCACCGGATAGGCGCACTGAGAAAATACTGTTTGCGTCACCTGAATGGGATCGCAGAGTGAGCGCAGAGCTCGAGTCTTGCAGGCGGGTCTCAAATAAGCAGCAGATATCGATCGAGAGGGTCTCCAATGCTCAGGCAAGTGCTGTCTGTTGACCGATTTGTAGCAGTGTACGTACATTAAGGAGTAGAAGCGGAAAAATGAAAAACACTCGTGAGATGTCCCATACACAGAAAGAGACAATAGCTGAAAATCTGTATGAATTTAGCTTCCGGGCACCAGCACCGCGCAGGACGCTACGCTAACCACAGACAATGGATATTGGAATGACAAACAAAAGGACGAAGTAGGAAGCATAAATATTGTTCATATTAGTATCCTTTCCCTTTACATCCCTCTTATTGTTGCAAACTAACACCGAAGGATCATGCGTCTGCTTCGATTCCAAATTAGTCTTTGATTCCGCTGATCTTGTCTGCTTAAGGTCACACCTAGTTCCAAAGGGTGAATCTGAAAATGCCGTTTAATTGCAACAAATTTGCACCGTGGATCACTGACCGTGCATGAGTGCACGGAAACTTGTCCATAGAATTCACCACGGCAAGTGAAACGTGTCACACCGGCCCTATAGCTCACCTTCGCTTTAGATTCTAGATCGCAATAGTAGTGAATGGCTCCTCTACTTTTTTCGCTTCTCTGAATGATCAACTGTCCGAGTAAGATTGCACCGATAACACTGCTATGTTTGTGTTGCACCTAGCCACTATACAAGCGCCAATGAATAGGCTGATCCTATATGGTGCGTGCTTCGATATACCATTCGCACAGTGCCCACACATCAGCACGTTCCAGTTGAACGACTATAGTTACTGTAGGTCTGAGACCTAGCCGCTACTCGCTGAAGTCACTAGGAGACTGATCGTTGTTGACCACTGGTCCCCATGATGCACAACTCGTGTCTGGTGGAACCACCAGATCACTGTTGCTGAAGTTTATTTTCTAGGGTGTGGTAACCATTTTCCGGCCATATTGGATGCCTGTTGAACTCGACCTGTGTGTTCGAACAGCGAGGGATCTTTCCCGATTTTGGCATCCAGTAACGTTGGTACGTATTGCTTAGAATCATAAGACCCATTTTCGGTTAGGGCAGCGGTTGTCGCTGGATTGTGCAGCGCAGTAACTTCTGGGAGGGAGGCTTCGGAATCAGGCACATTAGGCGTCAGTTAACGTATCAGACTTCATATGGTTACGATATCAATAACACTTCTATGTTCGCCCTACCAATTCGCAAGTTTAACCAAAAGGCCTTTGAAATTTGTTTTTATTAATTATTCGATCTTGATTCAAGGTTAAGGCATTTTCTTTGTAGATCAAGGTTTGCGATTAGCCGATGTTTGACCTGCGTCTATCGTCGCATTGATGTAGGTTGCGGTTATCTCTTTGGCCATTTGCCTGCTGATCTTTTCTTATACACTACATGTTAGTCAGTTAATGTGCTGGCGCTGCTTATCTTATTGCTCTTTATCTTATATCTTTTAATCCGGCTTTGGACCAACTGATTTCCATGTTGCCGCCTGTAGCTGTTTTCTATCCTATCTGTAACCTTTCCGCTATTTGTCAGAAGTTTTGTTTGGATTTGCTTCAACAGGTCCATGTTTGGACACTAGGGTTACCCGACGAACTGTTCACCTCCTGCAGCTGCTTTTTCGTCTTTATTTTCTGCAGTCTTCACAGTGCCGAGCTTTTATCCGGTTTTTTAAACATCTTGTTCCTTCTGATTATCTCCGCTTCGGTATTCGTCAATGCACTCGCTCGGATTCATCGGTCGCCTAATTTACAAACAGATCGACTGATGTTGTCAGGCATTGGTTTTCGCGCTAATTCACTGTGCAGTGCTTAGCAAAACAGACAAGCCTAGCCTAGATGATGCTTGTCGTTTTCTTGAATGGGGACCAAGTAGTCGATCACATCAGCGGTTATTTAGCGTACGGAAAACGGTAGGCTGATGAGATCAAGGTGACTAATAAATCCGTTCCTTTATTTCTGATGTAACTACTGTAGCCTGCGATTCAACTCTTCTGACACTTCGCTTGACTCATTATGACTATTGTCCACATCTACCGGGAATCCGCGCAATGTGACTCGATGCAGCTAGATTAAAAGCAATCAAAGCAGGCTCACAGGCGCTACTCAGATTCAGATATCCGACCAGAGTGAACATTTATGTCAGCAGTAACGATCACGATATTCGTACTCATCACTAGAGGGCTAAGGAGTGGGGGTGGGCGAGACAGCTTTCCTTTTTTGGTCTCAGATGTGTGAAGGCAGACACCGAAATATTTGAGGCCACTTTTTCTCAGGCGGTAGCCATTACTTCTCGTGGAGATTTCAAGTTCAACTGTACATACGTAGTTATCTGCTTGGAAATATTCTATCAGGTCACCAGCCGATTTCGGTTCGTCATAATACTGAAACCGAAAGCAACTCACAAGTCGTTGTCGATAGTAAGCGAGCCAGATAAAAAAACGATGTAATGCAACGGTGCTATTGTATATGTATGGTTTGCAGACGCATCGCGTGTCGACTGCGAAAGAGTGAACAATGAGAACCACCAGTTGATCGAGGTGGCGCAAAGTACTCGCGCCAAAGTAGCGTAAGTCAAATGTGACCTGTGATCCGATCCCATCGCAATGAGATACTGGACCTTAACGTGGTGTGGTGGTTTGGGTGCCTCGGAAATTCACTGAGTTATGTTGGGTGATTCTCTTTGCACCTTCAGAGTCACTCATACTAGATTGGTCAACCGTCAGTGGCCAGACAAACTAAGCCTCCTGGTCCTCCATGTTGGGGGCTTGCAGTGAGGGTGGCTCCTTACCCTATAAAACGGGCTGTCTGTAGTCCAGTGCCAAAACCCCGCTGCCTTGCGGTAAGGTTTTTTAACCAGAGGCTTTGGTTAAGAACCCTATTCGTTCTGCTGTCTAGGTCTGGGTAACCTGACAGTATCCTGCCCATGCAATACATCATGACCTTTCCTCCTAACAATCTCTTGATGCTCTGGCCGTCGCAGAGGATAATAAACGGCGCCCTATCTGCTTCATCGAGCAGGGTAGATAGCGGCTTGAATGCTACTGCTCAAGCTTTCCCAGCTTCTTATTCCTCCTCTTGTGCTTTTCATCCTTATCATCCCGCTCCAACTTTACTTGTATCCCCCCGTTTTCTATCCCCCAATTCTTGGCACCCAGCTTGCTTGAATAGCCGCTTGTCTTCTAGTTTCAACTCACACACAAATGCAGGGGGTCGCTCCAATCCAGTCGACAAGTCCATGTTCAACCAAGCGAACAAGGTCAGTTCATTCGTTTTCCTTTGGAGTCCTCGATTTTCGCTAAGACTGGCATGCCTCAACGTGGTAATCATCGTAAGTTATTCCGCCTGATACGAGAAGTAGGCAGCCTGAGACCTAGTGTTAGCGGGACAATACGCAGCGAGAGTGGACAGAAAATCCACAGCTTGTCAAAACGCTTAGAGCGTTGGGCAGAACACTTTGCAAAGCAGTTTAACCGATCTGAGTTATCGTTTGCTCTTTCGGGCATTCAGTGCCCTTCTCCATGGGCCGTCTCCTTAGATCCGCCCTCACACGCTGAAGGCGAACGTTAGATCAGAGTGCTGAGATTGCATAAGGCCGCTGGTGCAGATAGAACTGCCCCAGCTGTCCACAAAAATTGGGAGCAGGAAACTGCTCCGAAAGACTAGAGTCGCTACGTCATAGTCCCAATTGTCAAAGGAGCAATGCGGCAACCATAGAGGGATCAGTCTGATCTCAACTGCCTCTAAATGGCTTGCCTCCATCGTTCTGCACAGACTGATTGGCGCTCGTGAAGGCCAGATCCGCGAAGAGCAAGCCAGGTTTCGTCGAAATTGAGGCTGCATCGACCACATCTTCACTTTGCGTCAATTGTCGAAACATCGCCATGTTTATTGGCGACCCACCGTTGTCCTGTTTCTCGACATCAAAGGTGCCTTCGATTCGATGGATCGACGTGCTCTTTGGGACTCTGCAGAGAAAAGGGGTACCCAATAAATATGTAAACATTATCAAAGCGCTGTACGCGCAAAGTTTGGGCAGAGTGAGGGTTTATGGCAAACTGTTGCCGCTCTTCAGTATTTCTAGCGATATGAGACAAGGTTGCCTGCAGTCATCTTTCCGCTTAAACTTCGCATTTGCCGAAGTCATGGAAAAGCACTCGCTGGACACAACATAGAAGGCGTGAAAGTACTTCCTGGTGAGCGACTTCTTGACTTGGAGTATGCAGATGGTATTGCCCTAATCTGTGACAGCTCTCAAATGTGCAAAGTAGCACTGGACGGATTAGCACTGGCTGTCTACCGTTTTGAGCTATGCTTCGCTCCATGGAAATGCAAAGTTCTTCTCCAGGATTGGCAAGGATCCATCCCTGCGCTGACCCTTGGTGGTGATCAGTTAGAAGTCGTGCAGGAATTCAAGTACCTGGGCAACTATATAGGCGCCTGTAGGATCGAAGTTGAGATTAAGAACCGTATAACAAAAGCTCGAGGTGCTTTTGCCTATCTCTGCCACCTGTGGTGCGGACGCGACATTACTCTTGCTCTGAAGGGCAGAGTTTATAATGCAGCCGTTCGTTCAACTCTCCTATATGGTTGTGAAACCTGGCCCATCAGGTCGACAGACATAAAGAGGCTCGTCAAATTCGATCATCGCTGCCTTCACAGCTTAGCTCATGTCTAGTGCGAGCACCGCGTGAGCAATGGGCGTGTTCGGTGTCGTGTATTTGGTGCAGGAAGAGCGAGTGAACCGCTCAGCATCATTATATCACGCACCAGCCTCCGATGCCTGGGCCCCCTGTTACGTATGACAGCAAATCGACTCCCGTGACGTACATTGTTCGCGCGCCGGGTGGGGGGTTCAAAAAGGAGAAGGGGAGGCCAAGTGATGACTTGGTAGAGAGAAATGAAAACTCTCACTTCGTGGTTGGTATCAGTTGGTTCATCCCGACTGCCTGGCTGGGGTTCTAAGGACGATGGACACGTTTGGTTGGGCGCACTTGCTGATATCGCTAGGAGCCGTCCCCAGTGGCGTTTGTGTTGTGAGTTCCTTTGTTCATCACCACCTGATTAGCCTTCCACTCTAATTACGATCTCATTCGTTAGGCATAATATAACTCTCTTTTTGCGGCAAGATAGCCGGCTGTTAGCTTTCCGGAACGATGTCCATCCGTTACTCGGGACTCAGCCGACATGCCACTGTTGCTTTTTTCTTCTTGTCTTTTGTATTGCGGCACAACAGCTGAGGTGTTTTCCACCTGCAGCTAACATGTATAGTGATGATGATCCGAATAACGAACTGAGTACATCAGTTGTAATTTCGAAATAGGTAAAAGCCTCATAATGGTTAACCAGAAAGTAATAGACTAAAAGTAAAAGGAACCGTTTAATTTGAACTAAACAAACAAGTATCCTAGGCTACGGTTGTCCGAATCGCGATATAGCTACTCTAGACCAGAAAACGGAAAGATCCATTGTGATCATGGCCGAAGGTTGGACGCCAAATGGCTCGGCCGACTACGTTGTTACAGCTACACTTTTAAGACCCTTTTGGTGAAACAAAGGGTGAAACATATGGTGCTTCGCGAAGAGAATCCAACGGAGTCAATCAACCCACAAGATACAGTAGAGAGACGCTAAGTGGATAAGAAATGCAGCAAAGAAAGCATGCGAGTACATGGCATACCGTACAGAATTGATGCCGTAGCGAACAGTGCACCAGCGGAGAGACTGTGACTCGGCGTCGGTGTCTGGGGGGAATCAGACTGAGTTGTTGACAATAGGGCGGTAAACGATAGACCAGTGGGCCAAAAGAGACTGAAAAAGAAAAAAATGTATCAACACAGCTGATGCGTCTACAGCTGAGCTGGGAGCACAACAGAACAGATGTATCATGCATAGATTTGAAAGAACAAACGTTAGAACTGGTGTAAATGCAAGCAGAAGAATTCGCGAAATGTGTGGATAATGAAAAGTTGGGGATAAAAACCCACTTAAGCACATGGTGCTAGTTAAGCCAGGAATGGGTTTTTCTATCAGATCCCGAGCAGAGATCAGATTTGCAAAGATATTCATTCGGTAATTCACATCAGGAAATTACAACCACAAAGCGATGGAGACAACAGTACGCTGGTGAAAGCTGAAGAGAAAACTGTTGGGATGGTTTGAACAGGCTTAGTATATTCGTGCGACGCTCAAATAGATGACGAGGGCTGCGAAGGGGTTCGCACTAAATCAAAAAGTACCGTAGGGTCAACTGGAGGGGTAAAAAATTCCCCGTGGATCGTCCCTAGTGCTCCAAGGGAACGATTTTTCACAATGACCATGACAACATGAGGGATCACAAAAGCACAGAATACTTGTATAGTTCTGGCTGTTTTAGACTGATCGCGTTGTCTTCAGCCGTTTGCAGTTGTTTCCTCAACCCATTCGGATGTCGCTTTGGTAAGCTATGATAGACGTTAAAGACGCCCATGGTCGGAATTTGGTGACCACGTTGAACGCTTTTGGTTACTCCTCTCCACAGTGACTTCGGAAAGTGCTCGATTATCTGTACTGACAGACCCGTGGTTGTATTTAAGAGCTGCTTGAAACCCAGGCAAAATCGCTCGAGCGTGAAGTGCAGCGTAGGGAGACGGCAGTTCCGGTCCCAGAGATCGAAGTGGCAGAGATTTGCTCCAAAACAAATTGTGGCCTCATTCGTGATTGCGCATCGCAATTCAGATAAACGGTGGGCGCTTTAAGATCTAATAATGAACAAATAGCTTGTGGCCTATTTACACGATGAAACGTACATCACCGCAAGGGGTTGGGACAGCAACGACCTAACAAGTTCATGTAAACGCTGTAGAAATGTAAAAGGTGTCTTCACTCTGAATACTGCGAATAGAGAGCGAGAAGATAATAATCTGTGTTGCTGCATCGTAGTTGGATCGGGCACATACGCGGAATCACTTCGCTGATTCCTATGCGGTGGCACATATTGTAACTGCACTACATCTTATCCGGGGGAGATACGCTCCCTATACCTGTAGTCCGCAAACTGGGCGTCAGAAAATCTCTTAAATTACGACACTGATTTCGCTTCGACCAGCGTCTGCGGTAATTTGTACCAATATATTACACCACTCGACACGATCGAAGCATAGAGGGTGAGTGATGTGTTTTAAATCAGGTACCACTAGTTTGTACCGGTGTCCGCGTGTGCTGCTTGTTGCGCGAACGTGCAGCAGCGGCCTCAACATAGGGAAGTGGTCCAGGCGCAGTATTCGGTGCGTCATAATGAGATCAACTAGGAGCCGACGATATGACAGGGTATAAAGCCCTAGACTGCTACATCGGTCCTCGTACGACATACCCTGTAAACTGGGGATGAGCCGGGTAGCTACATGCTGGACCCGTTCCAGTCTCTGCACCTCACCTATTGTGATCGGGCAACAGGAGGGTGAGCCGTACTCAAACACCGGGCTTATTATGGAAGAGAACTGATGGGTGGCTATCTCTTCAAAACAAGCACAGAAGCTGCATCTAAGTGCCCAAAGCAGGTGCAGTCCATGTGCGTACAAGCTGTTCGTGTTGTCGACAAACTTCAGAGCACAGCATGAGAGTACGCCTAGGTCCTTTACGGAAATGATGGGATGCAGCAGGTAGCCGGCCAGGGTGTACGCACGCCCATTATTACCCATGCCCAGGCTCATAAATGAGGAATTGGCCGGGTATACCGGTAGGTCAAATTCCACAGACGACCGGATAGGCAGTCGAGGTGCTGCTGAAGGACGTCACAGTAGCCGGGAGAATTAATAGTCCTTCAAATCTACAGGTCATCCGCAAATAATACGCAGGGCGACCGAAGAAGCTGAGGTACTTCGTTGATGTGGAACATGAATAAAATGGTCGCCAGTACTGTGCCTTGGCGAACGCCATTAGTGGAGGAGTACCATTCCGTTAGGTAGTCATCCACCTGAACCCGCCATCTTCTCCCAATAAGGAAGTCACTGATTCACTGGTGCAGAGCACCACCAACACCACACATCCTCAGCTTGTGAAGCAGGACCTCATGGTTCACTTTATCGAAAGCTTTACTGAAATCAATGTAGATAATACACACTGACTTCCTCCGATTTAACGCTTGCAACCATTCCTGCCGCGTCAACAGCAGGTTGGTGATACACGAGCGGCCCTTCATGAAGCCGTATTGTGCCGGTGTTAGATCTTTCAACTCTAGCAACTGGAAAAGAGCCTTTTTCACAATCTTTTCGAGCAGCTTCGCCAAAACATAGGTGGGACAAATCGGCCGGTAATTGTCCACATTGCGTGGGTCACCAACTTTTGGAACCGGTTTCACTACTGAGCATTTCCAGTCGCTCGGCAATGCACCCTCGGACAGCGATCTGTTGAACAGATCCGTCACGGAAGGCGAGATGATGGCCAATAAGGACTTCAAAATTACCGGGTGAAGTCCATCGGGTCCGGTAGGTATTGTGCCATCAAGGCTGGCGAGTAGACTGCGGACAGCTTCTACACCGCAGTCAAGGTTCTCGAGTTCAGTAGGGGCTGCACACGTCGAGCTCGGCATAGGCGCATACCCACTTGTATATACGGAAGCAAAGTGCTCCGCCAATGCGGACGCACGTTTAGTGCTGGAGGTCAGAGGCTGTCCGTCAGTGCCGTCTAAGACAGCTACGTCACTTGTGGGCCTCAGGCGCCGCTTAACATAAGCATAAATCTTCTTGGGGGCCGTCTTCGCTGAGGTTGTAAACGCCTCTACGAAGTGCCGACGCTTTCGCGCTTTTGCGCTGTTGCATAGATTCCGCTGTCTTTTGTACGCCTCATAACCGTCGGCAGAGCTAGAGACGAGGAATCTACTCTCCAATTCGTGTCACCGTCGAGCCAATTGACTATACTCTATGTCGAAGCAATGTGGCTTCACTGGTTCAACTTTCCGATACTTCAGGGGTTTGAAACGAGTGCATAACAATTGCACACCCTCTTTTATAACAGACCAACAGGCTTCAACAGATGAATCCTGCGGCAGCGACCAGTCTACTTCACTGGCGGCTCAATTTAGACCATTGAAGTCGGTCTTCCAATAATTGTAGGAGCGCTTCGGCAGATGAGAGTAGGGCAACGGCATATCTAGGCTGGCTGACACCATCGAGTGGTCACTAGCTACCAGAGGCTCCAGGACCTGAATTGCATGTACACGTTGCTCGCAACCCGTTAGTAGTAGGTCCATGCACGATGGAGCGGAATGCAGTGTAACGCGAGTCGGTTGGCAGACATATCGTGCTGCCCCAATTTCAAATACTACCTCCGCAAAATGCGTCGTGACTTCACAGTGCCCGGGGTGAAGTTAAACCTCAGGCCACCGTATTCAAGGAAGTTAAAATCGCCCATAAGCAGAAAGCGTGGCGGACTTATGTAGTTTCTGGCATGCGGCAACCAATCCAGGCATCGACTTCGCGGGCTGCGATAAACAGCACTCCCAAACAGTTCACCCTGTCTCAGGCGGATCGAACACCATAACTGTTCGCACAAGCCATCTTCGCTACGGTAGGTGTGTACCAGTCTCCCGCACAGCGAGTACTGAATGTATAACAGCACGCCGCCTCAATCGTTTGATAGTCTGTCGCACCGGAAGTAGGAGTAGCCACTGATCTGGACTTTCTGGATAGTGACCTCAGGATGTAACCAGGTTTCGGCCAATCCTGGTACGGTCAGAAGACATGAGGCAACGAAGTGAAATACATCGTCATGACTGTGCAGTAAACTATAAACATTTGTGAAGGCTATGCGCAGGCCGCGATAGGAACCGGCAGACGCGCATGAAGTGTCATCGATCTGTTGATCCGAGTTCGGCGGATCCGGGGAACTACGATGAAATTTAAGATGTGGAGATTGGTTTCACCACTATCAGTCCACTGCTTCAACTCCACGATAGCGAACTTCAGTTTCTCTCTGTCCGACGGATCCAAATCGGGACGAATATGGATCTTTAGACCCCTTGGCCTATCGAGGCGGGATATTATCAGCCTCGGACTCGTGGCATCAACAAAAGTGACTCGCACAGGCCGGGATTTCCCCTCTTTTCTCTTTCCAAGACAGGCGATTTGCTTCACCCACAACCCCTGTTCATTAAGGTAGAGAAGCCTATCAATCATGCTAGAGAGAAAATCTACGTCGTGGTCATAAAGAGGCTGAGGAATAGCATCTTTCGACTCGGGCGTGTGAAATATAACAACACCGTTAGTTGCTGGCGGTTGTCTTCTCCACGGTCCACGTGATCCAATTGGCCAAGATTTAGTTCAGTGGGAATCGTGGTCCACACTGTGATTGTGCATCGCGATCTGTTCACAAAACGCGTGTTTCACAATGACACCCTAAAGCTAGGTAACATTTGATTAAGTCAGAATAGAGCACGCGATTCGAGTCTGACTTTCCAATAGTCACATAGCCACATAAGTCCATGTATAAAGTCAGAAGCACATAAACTACGAGAAGACCGATGGGGAGAGAGGGAGATACTCAGTAACCGAATTTGATCGAGGTGATCGAGGTTCACAATCAAAAGAAGAGTTTGTAGTGAGACCAGCTGCTTACACAATTCGGTTTCGTTAGCACGATTACCATGTGGTCTGAACATCGTCTAGTCGCTCTGGTCCTCATTTCTTGCAGCAAATTGCTGAGTTTCTGCTTAAAATGTAATGCGTCTAAAGTAAGGTTCAATGTGGCTCGCAAAACGGCCAATGTGTTTTGCAAAACGTTCAGTGGTTTGCAAAACGTACAATTGAAAGTGAAAATGGTATATATATATATAAATATATATATATAAATATATAAATATATGTATATATATATAAAGTAGAGCAGCACAGTTCAACACAGAAATCGATGTAATCAGTAAACCGCACGTACATGAATGACAGTGTTTTTTGGGAACACTGAGAAAGCGGTTGAGGCGGTATCGTACGGAGGAATGTGATATCAGACGTTGAGTAACCCCGTGTGACATATTAGAAGGGCAATGAGCCCAGTTATAGCGAAAAGTCCAAAGAACCATGGAAGAAGCAGAAGCGGAAACACAAACAAGGCTTCGAAGACAGGGAAATAAGGAATCATCGTGAAATACAGCGAACTTACCAAAACAAAATTGCTAGGGAAACGATTGAAACCTTCGATAAGTGTGCGACACGGTGCGGTCCAATGCGATTGCTGATGAGCGCGGTAAAGTAAAAGTCCACCACAAATGCAACGCCGATGCAGACGACCAAAAATAACGAAATCAAGTGATTGGTGTTTGAGTGCTCAGAGAGGGAGCCGAAATCGTCTGGATCAATCAACACTGGAGAAGTCTGTGGAAGAAAACAGCGCATAAAAACGTGATAAATGTCACGAAAAGTGATGAAGCTATAGGAGCACGAAGATAAATAGACGGGTGATTATCAGTAGATCGGTTAGGACTGAGGTCAGATACCATACAGCAGAAAGGTCGCTAGAGGCAACTAGGTACCGAGACAATAAAGAATCAAAACGAAGGAAGCTAGTGCACAGATTTAAGACACCATCGCAATTCCGTCATCATACTCTCACGGAGGCTCCTCTGCGCTATTCTACGCTACCGCACGCCACTCAACTACGCACTGATGATGTCACCTTGTTTGGTGACGAAACGTTTGCAACGAAATTGCCAAACTCAGTGAACAGTTCAACCGTCATGTGAACAACCCGAGCTACTAGCTTTCAGTTCTCTCTCTCTCTCTCTCTCTCTCTCTCTCTCTATATATATATATATATATATATATATATATATATATATATATATATATATATATATATATATATATATATATATATATATATATATATATATATATATGTGGCTGCCTGCATCCGGTTTGGGACATGCCTCTCACGGTGGCCAACCGTAGGACGCCTGCGGCTACACAAGGACCATGCGTGGCTGGCGCTGCACCATCCACAGCTTCGACCACACCCCATATCCAGTGTAAACCCGAAGGAATAAGACCAGGAGGCATGCGGATGGGAGCCACGTTTCATCAAAAGAGCCGGCTCACACTCCCTCGAAGGCAAACACAAGCACGCTGTATTCGGGGAATCAAGCGCACACAAAGCGGTGGCTGGACCGTAGTCCGCTCCACAATGAGTGAATGGAACTGCTCTTCGAGCCTAGTACGGCCACAACGACCATGCACCCCGTCCCCTCCAGCAACGACCAACTGTCTCCTGGAGCCAGTATGAACGAGGTAGTGGGTAATAGGCAGGTAGGCACCTTGTCAACACGCACATCAAGTGCAGTCACACCGGGGATATCAAGCAACAGCCAATGACTTGAGACGACAAGATAAAATAGAATAAATCGAATAGTGCATACAGATATGCCGACATAGCACTTTAGTAAACGAGCATATGAAATAAAGTGGTTGCCAAAATATCCGAAATAGTTTCAAGACGTCAGAAAAGATTTTTTAAGAAAATGTCACAAAGGCTAAAATGTTATCAAAGTTAACTACAAGTAATTTGATTGACGTGTGCAAGTTAATAGAAGATAGTTCAGGTAGACATTAATGAGACAATATAGCAAACCCACCACCTGAAAGAAATAGACTCAGCACGCAAGCAAGCGGTTAGTAAATTGAATGCAACGTACCCACCAACGCTGCGCCGGTTCTCCCAACGTTCTCTGCAGGACCAAGCGTCGTTTCGTGGTTGGCACCGATTAGCCTCGCTAATGGCTCACTAGACCTGCCTGACTCAGTCACTCGCGACTGCAAGTGTTACGGCATCATGCGCTTGATGTCGATGGAGTATAACTCATCGGTTCCTGCCGCTTCCGTACTTGCCGCTTCTTCTCTGCATGCATGAGGTCTTTCTCCTGCACCTCGGCAACTGCCCTCGTGATCAGATCGTGTCAAGCACGCCAAACAACCGCCTTCGATTCCCATGAACTGCAATCAAGATTAGAGCGTGAGAGGCTCAATTTGATCATGTCCTGATAACGAAGGTTCGGTTTCCTCATATGCTGCTTCCCCAAACTCAGATGACCATATTATAGTTGTTTCGGTATCCGCGTTGAATCCATACGGCTCACATGACCGAGCCACCTCAGGTGTCTCAGTAAAAGTATGCAGTCCACTGCATACATCCCACTTTGACGCAACACTCCCGTATCCGCAGCTCTGTCGCCCCATCCGATGCGCAGAATCCGTCGCACTGTTGATGGAACCGCTCGAGATATCGCACATCTCACCGGTACATCGTTGACGTTTCACGGCCGTATAGAAGAACGGACAGCGCCATGGATTTGTACATCATCAGTTTCGTTCCAATAGGAAGCTGATGGTTGTTCCACACTTGATATTCTAGCTTCCCGAATGCTGCCGCTGCCTTCGAGACGCGAAAACGCAACTCACTGTGTAGCTACTGGTCAGTCGACATCACACTCCTAAGGCAGCAGAAGCGGGAGGTGGTTTCCAATACTTCAACACCAAGGCTGATTCGCAGCACCATTGCAGATTGTACCTCCGGTGAAGCCTGAAAGAGATGGACAGTTTTGCTTGTGTTGACGGTGAGACCGAATTTGGCCGCTGTCGAAGCCAGAGCACTAGTCATGTGTTGCAACTCATCCGCGCTGTGTGCAAACAACGCACAGTCGTCCGCAAACAGCAACATACAGGTAGTTGTCTTAAAGACTAGGGTTCTCGCACCGAAATGATGAATGTTCAGCAACCCAGCATCAATACGGTGCTCCACACGAACACCGCAAGCACAAGCCGAACCAAAAGCACAAGACACCATTGCGTGAAGATATATATTATACAGGGCAAGAGCTAACACGCAGCCTTGTTTCACACCAGAGACAACTGCAAAGTCACCCGAGGTTTGTTCACTCAGCTGCACCCTCGCCCGCATAACGGCGCTGAGCGGTTCATTTCCTTTTCCTGTGCCGTAAACAAGGCGTCGAACACGCTCATTGCTCACACGGTGTTCCCACCAGATAACAGCCAAACTGCGAATGCACCGGTGGTCGAACGCAACTAGTCTCTTTACGCCTGCTGATCTAAGGGGCCGGGTTTCACAGCCGTACATTAGGGTGGAACGTACCGCTGCATTGTACACTCTATCCTTCAGGGCAAGAGTGATGTCACGTTGGTGCCATAGGTGGTGAAGGCAAGTAAAAGCACTTCGAGCTTTTGCTACACAGTTCGTGATCTCATTTTCGATCTCAAGGGCGCTGATGCAACTTCCCAGGTATTGGAATTTCCGAACGACTTCTAGTTGATCACCACTAAGGGTCAGCGTGGGAAGCGGTCCAGGCCAATCTTGGAGGAACGCTTTGCACTTCGATGGTGCAAAGCAAAACTCGAAGCGGTGGACAGCCAGTATTAATTTGTGCAGTGCGGCTTGGCACGTCAGGAAGCTGTCAAAGATGAGGGTAACATCGTCCGCATACTCTAAGTCAAGAAGTCGTTCTCCATGGAAAAACTCCACATCTTCAAAGTCGTGTCCTGTGAATGCATTCTCTATGAGTTCATCAATAGCGAAGTTGAAGAGGAAGGGTGACAACGGGCATCCTTGTCTCACACCGAGATATTAGAGGGCGACGACAACTGGCCGTAAGCTCTCACACTGCCCGGGCTACGCGCGTATAATGCGCGGATAATACTTACACCTTTCGCGGGGACACCTTTCCTGAGTAGACAGTCCCAAAGTGCACATCGACCAACCGATTCGAAGGCATCATTGATGTCAAGGAACACGACTACGGTGGGCCGCGAATATGTGTGACGGTGCTCCAACAAGTGACGCAAAGTGAATATGTGGTCATGGAGTCACGACCCCAAAGAAACACGGCTTGTTCCTCACAAATCCGACTTTCACGAGCGCCAGTCAGTCTGTGAAGGATTACAGAGGCAAGTAATTTGGAGGCGGTGGGGATCAGACTAATTCCTCTATGGTTGCCGCACTCCGAACGCCAGCCTCCTTTGAAGATCGGAACAATACGGAGCGGCTCAAGTCGGTTGGGACGATTTCCTGCTCCCAAAGTTTCACTAGAAACTCGTGTAAATCGTCCACAAGAGCAGAGCCCCCGGATTTGAAGAGGGCTGGATGTAGATCATCTGGTCCCACGGCTTTGTTCAGCTTCAACAGTCCGATCTCACATTCGACTTCTGAGCGAGAGGGCGGATCGAAAGGGACAGTCCAGGGAGCAGGGCAATCACTGGCCGGTGAGGAATCTAACAATTCCGGCCAATTAAATTGCTTTTCAAAATGCTCAGCCCAATGCTCCAAACGTTTTGACAAGTGGTGAATAGTCTGCCTACACTCGTCATAAAGTGTTTCACAAGCATCAGGTCACTTGCTGCTCGTTTCCCGTATCAGACGGAATAACTTTCAACGGTTACCAAGGGCAGCGACCACTTCCATCTCTGATGCACGAAGAGATCACTAGGATTCGCGGTCTCTCTTGAGGCTAGCACGGAGATTTGCGTGAAGTTCATTGAGAATTTCATTGTGATCGCTTCCAGCCGGAATATGCCGGCGAGCATCGATCAATTCTAGAGACCGCGAAGAGACCCAATGTCCATGTTGGCGATAAGACTTACCACATGAGGATTTGGCTGCTGCCGGTGAACATGCGATCAGTGACCTGCCTTCAGTGAGCGCTTACTCAACCGCATGTCAGCATATTTCGATACGCATTCAGAACAGCTGGATTCGCCAGTTGACTGGTGCCAATGCGCTCAACGCGTCGTTGTGAGCTTCCGCCAAAACGCTTCCGCAAGTCAGCATATATATGTGCATGGTCGGTGTCCACACCTGTGCCCCAAATTGAGCGACAGTTCAGGACGCAGCCTCTGCAGCGGTAATTGATTGTAATGTGACTAATTTGCGTCCAAGGTTGGTGGGCCGCAAGTCACCCTCCGGCGAGTGCTGTGTCGGAAGTTAGTGTTCGCAAGAAATAAGCGAGCATCTTCACACAAATAAAGTAACCACTCACCGTTATCATTACGAGAGCCTACGCCGTGCTGGCCGTCCAGATGCAGTTCATCAATGGATAATTTTACAACTTGAGCGTTCAGATCCCCGGCCAGCACTACAGTGTCCGAGCTTCTTCTGTGGCGAAAAAACTCGATCAATTGGCGGTGGAAGTCGTCTTTTACCGAATCATGGCTAGAGTTTGTGGGTGCGTAGGCAGCGATGACGTATAGACACCTATTAGTCTCGCACGACTTCGAAACTTTGAACGAGCCACCCAATTGGACCGCACACATTCGGCTACTGATTGGGATCCAATCAACTAGAGTAGCTTCAGCCAGTTTTCTTCGCAAAC